TCATTTTCCTCTGCGTTTTATTATAGATTTTTATGACGAAAACTTAAATAAACCAACATTTTTTTTTTAATAATTAGGTAGGTTTTATTTTGCGAAGTATCTCTTCTGTCACTTTTACCCAAATTTTATCCGTTGTTAGACATAGGTACATGTTAGGTAAGTGTAATTTCGTCTTCTACAAATCTATGAAATGATTTGTATGGCTGCTTACATGCCATGAATTACTACGCAGTACATGCATTACATTATACCTATTGATACAACGTGATAAAAGATTCGCATTGGATCAGACGGAGGAATCAAACTGCACTATTATTATGATATGCATTATACCGGATTACAAAGGGATTGTAGCTGTATCCGCAAGAATACATATTAAATAATATTATTATCGGAGGCTAGATTTTATCCTGCACGTCATCAAATGTAATCATTTATATTTTTTATATACTAGGTTTTGTTAACTATAATATATTACGGTGTGTCCATTAATTTAAAAGCTGGGCGTCGTCCTTCTGCCAATTATACGTATATACAATATAATATATAATATTCCGATTTACCGCATGGAGGGTTCCCATCACTCGCCATACAGAATTATGGTGTTGATTATGGTCTTAGTCAGTCGTCACTCGTCAGCATATGTTTTTGCGAGCCTGCAGTCAACGTGAAAAAAACAATCGTAGTATGGGCCATAGTTGAATCTTCATGTAGGTATTTGACTTTAGGAGATTTTTCAACAATATAGTACAAAGGAAAATTAATCTGTAATTTTTAATAATTTTAATTTTTGAATTCTTATTAATTTTTGTTTTCTCATGTTGAAGAGGGGATGTTGTAAATTAGTGTATAACACTACGATTTGCACAGTCCAATTGTGGGGAGGGGGAATAATGTGCTCTGTATCCACCCATAACGAGTGATCCGCATGATATAGGTGGATAAGAAAATATTATATTTTAACGATTTTGCAGTCGATTTGTAGTTGATTCTGCTGATGTGTAGGTATTATTATGCAATATATTTGTCCAACTATTTTGAGTGAACTATGGGCTTATAGTTTAATTAGGGTAACTATGTTAGTCCTGTCCAATAAATAGGGATAGTCGTGATCTATTGCTGGATAGATCTTCGGTGGTTGTCTCGCAAAGTAATTAAAAATGTTCCCACTACCCACATTTTATTGCGGATTATATAAATATTATTAAATATTAATTTTATTGCACAAGAATGATAAGTGAGGATAAGTCTGTTCTAGCTTGTCCCACATTATGTTAATAAACGGATATGCACGCGCACATTATGTTATACAGACGACGATGACTATTCTTGAAAGCAGTTTTTTTCGGAGTATAATAATAATATTTTATTGTGTTGTTTACGATTGAAGTATATTTATATTTATATTTATATTATATATCGTGCGAACAGTGGTGGGCGGCTAATCGCTTTTTTAAACTATGGTTTGAAAATGTTGTATTATAATTTTTTTTATCCGAATAACAAATATAATATAAATTATAATTGCCACTAGACCACGAACTGTTTGTCCCAGGAAACGGATTCATTACCATTCGCATGTTTTTGTAAAATACCAAGAAATATAGTGCAAGCAAAGATGTTTTGTTGTACGAAGAAGTGAAATCTAAAATTTGATTTTACATAATATATATGTGATTTATTTGTTAGTAATAACTTATAACTAATAACTAATGATTGTATATCTAATGAATTTATGATTTTATTGACTATTTGTTATCGAATCATTCGTGTAATCTTTTTATCTATTTTAAAATATATCAAATATACCATTCATATTCCACATCCTGTTTTTCTGTCGTCTTTTATTTTTTTATCGTTTTTTCCCTTATAATTCTTGAAATTTTTTTTTATCAGTATTTCGATATAGTTAATCGTTAAATCGTCTAGCGGATCGGTTTTGAACATTTATTTTCATTATTTTATTTTTTATCGCATAGTGTAGGTTTTGAAGCGCCATAAAATAATATCTTTGAACTCCTTGATGTAACGATTTTGTCATGACATGCAGTATAGTAAAATTGTGTTTTCGCGTCTACTATTATTCCATCAAATACATACCGTTTATCATACATTTTATAATATATCATACAGTCACACAGTCACACAGATACGTAAGGATGAAAATATAAGGTCGTATAGTATAGATATTTGTAATTTTTAACGATTTGCATCCTAGTCGTTGTTACCGTATTTACGATCATCACATACGCTTAATAATAATAAAGGTAACCGAAATGGATGACAAATTGTCAACGGCTATACTATCTGTTCAGAAACTATTTAGGTGTTTTGTCGCCGGTAACCATAATAATGTACGTATTATAAATTGTAATTGTTGGTAACTAATATTATATATTTTGCGACTTCGATGTGCACAAGTAACTACTGTAATATACATAAAGATTAAACAATCATTGTGCATTTGTGCGACATCGACGTGAAGATAAATAATATAGTGTTATATTGTTACTGTTATATTATTCCATATTGATTTTGTTATAGGTTTCATAAATTTGCCATCGTCTGGAATGAGCGTAAAACTGATCCCGCCAACTTGCTCGAAATATATTATTCACCTAACTACCACCTATTTGGGTGATGCAATTCAGCAATATTCGTTTGTATAAATCGTATTAAGACACGCGTTCATTTCGATAACGATTAAATGCGTCACGCATATATTTATGCATAATATTATGCTCACGCGTAATACTCATTTTATTATCGTTTTTCATTTATTACCGAGTGATTACCTAACGTATAGCATTTCAGCGTTCGTCATTACTAATTAATATTCACGTTGGAGTTAGGAGCGGCATTATTGTCCAATTTCTAGGGTGCTCTGCCTCGCATAATCCATCCTGTGTTGTGCGCACAACGGCTATTAATGTTATTAATTATTTTATTTGTTAGGATTTCGTTGTTTTCCGCGTTTGTTATCTAGATCGGACAGATTCCGCGAACAATAATGATGTTTTTTCTTCATTTATTCTGTAATTTTGAGAGACGTTCACTTTTAAATGTGTATATATAAGATATAACATCTTCACTTATATTACACTATATATACGTGTACGCTTATTGTGTGTTTAAAAATCTTGATCTAGGCCATCCCGACGACGTGGTAATTAGTGTAGTAGGTACGTTATAAAGCGTGCGCGGACATGACGTTAATCGTCCGTTCACATGGTCTAATTAGTTAAAAATTACGTTTATTATTAATTATTATTATTATTATTGCATTTTACATTTAATTTTTTTCTTGTTATGGAATACTTTTTCGATTACGATTAAAATTGTACCAGATAGATGCGCTAAAACTGATAGGTATTATTATCTTTGTGCAAGTATATGGTAGTTAATGTAGGATTGTAATAAAATCGACCGAGTGTTAAATACGTTTCCGACGCTCGATATACATATTATAATATAAGTTATAACGACCACGGTACTTATTTATAGGTTACCGCCGTGTAACATACGACTTTCACGGCCGCGGCCGCGTCGTGCCATTATTTCGGGGTTTCCAGACTGGTTCGATTTCGTTCGTTTTATTTATGAATCCGAAGAGAGAGGGTGCAGATCGTCGGTGTGTTGCAGTTGTTTTTTGCAGTAGGAGCAGCAGCGTTACGAAACCAGTTAATTAAATATAGTATTTTTTATTTCGCACTCAGAAGGTCGTAGTATAGAAAACTGTCTGGTACATAATGCTAACATTTTTTATTTTCGCGATAAATGATCGATCGGCGCGACGACGACGCCTTTCGCACGCGCTATAAGCGGTTGTCGATGGGTATAGTGGTATACCTATAACCTACCACCTATTTATATATAATGTATATATAAAATTATATTCTCCGATATCGCACGAAATCAGGTCGTCGACAGTATGTGCGTGCGCGAGTCGGTGTGTGTTCGCGAGCGTGTGATCGACTAGCGGTTTCTGCGAGCTAGAAATTGACCACAGGTTCCGATGACTCGAAATAATTTTTCCTCTGTACCGGATACAATATAAATGATATCATTCGCATGCGTTTGTACATGCACAGTTATTCTCTCGGTCAAGTATATTGTATAATATATTATAATGATTTGTGATTTTTTCGACAATTTTATTTTTTCATTTATTATATCCTTATGCGGAGCGCGAGAGGTACTCCACGTTGTTCGAGGGAGGTTGTGCCGCAACTCGGGACGACAAGCTAAAAAATAATGTCCACGGACGATTTGTCTCGGTGCGCGTAAAAGAACATTTATATTACACGTAGTAGGTACACGCGGACGACAGCAGCTAATAATGCGTGAAATACAGAAAACAGTTGTGTTTGAAATGCAGGACTGTTGTTGAACGGTCCATAACGCGTAATGCACACGTGTATATTTATATTAAAATAACAGGAAAGTGTACCTACTTATATATTATAATATACTCGTGTTCGTGTATACCGCGTTCGGTGGACCAGCACTGATTTGTACTGAAATCCAAAATAATACTATAATATACGTATTTTGTACATTTATAACGTGCATGTGTATCACGTGAACGTGTATGGGGAAAAAATAAAAAATTTATACAATATTCGAAATCTCGCTCGCAGCCGATGAAGAATAGCAGGCCTTGAATATATTGTTATTTCTTTTGCGAATTTTAATGGTAATAATATAGGTAACATATGTGAATATTACGATAACCGGAATTGGACGATTCGATGAAATAGGACTTATGTATTGCAATATGTTACGTCGTTATGTACTTAAAATAGTATAGTATATGCTGCTCTGTGCAAACGAGTTTTTGTTGAATCCGTTTCATTTGCGTGTATTTCTTTAACATGCAATATAAAGATAACGAATAACGTTTTTTCAAAGACACGGCCTAAGTTTACCCACATATTGACATACTGTGATGAAGTTTTTCATTGGATTAACTAAAATGGCATCTAATTTTTTGTTTACAGACTTTGAGGGGCCTCGAGCCCCTGTGGGATGGACTGCCGTGGCGACGAGCTCATCCAACACAATAACAGAACAGCGGCACAAGCTGTGCCTTTTCAATACCTCATCAACGAACAGGCAAAGTCTATCCTCGCTCTACAGGTCGGTGTAAACTATTATTTCAATATTTTTTTGTTTTTACCCACTAATGCATTGCACAACACGTGTTACGAAATCGATAATTATCATCTCGTTATAGTTGCTTATATATATAGTGTATGTCTGCGTTGATGGTTGATGTATAAAAAACCTACTATTAATTATGAAGAAGATATAATATTATTCGAGTGTTCCTAAACTTTTTTGTTTAATATTAATTACATTGGCCTATCACTATTCCCAATTACTAAAGGATAGTTGAATTTCAATAGATATGTAGCTTGTATGATATAATATAACATATTATTATATAATGGGAGATAATTTCGAATACTAAAAATGTCGTGAATAATTATTTCTAATGGAAAGGCAGTTTCGTAATATTGAATAATTCTATTTCATTATGTTAATGTGGACTGTACATTTATTTAATCTTTTATAGTAATATTAAAAATCTCAGAATACTTTTGATAAAAAAAATGAAATGGATTGCAACATCACAGTGATTTTTCTGCGTATTCAACTAACTTGATTTTTCGATAACAATAAGTATTAAGTTCTTGATTAATATCAATTTCAATGTCTTCTTAACCACTTGTTACCGTACATATTGATAAATAACAAATATTTATGTATAATAATATTAGGTTAGCAGAGATTCATAACATTGAAACAACCATTATTCAAGTATACTCACAGATATATTATACTAATATTAGATAGCCGTCTTCTCGTTATCAATGAAACACGCCGCCATATGCAAAGAATTTATACTACTCGATACTCAAACGCTATCAGACACATATAGATTAAATTATCACTTATGAAATATTGTTCAAATAAAATAATTATCGTTGGTAAATTCAATTATAATTTATAATTTAGGCTTGAACTTATATATTTTATTCGACCTAACGAAAACTATGAACTATTCTTTTTTATAATCAATGTATACGGTACACCTATTCTACGTTTTTTTTGCTAACTGTACAATTTTGTCCGTTTTAATAATAATAATGTTACCTGTAGTACCTGCGATTTAAATCGTAGTATTTTTGACGGTGTTTCGTTGTTTCATAATTTATAGAACATTACGATTTAGTGATATCCCAAATGTATGTATAAAAGTATACCATATACGTACATAGGTTGTATAAATTAATCTAATAATATAAAACATAATATTATTTAACTATATAACAGAGAACTGATAAATAACAAAATATAAGTAAGTTTTCATTTTGAAACAATAATAAAAATAGAATACATTTATAATATAATATGTATTAAATTGATAATAATCTAATATCGATAACATTAATTGTTTATTGAGTTGTCTCCTTTGCATATGGCGTAGCGTTGCAGCTTATTTCGTGGTGGTGTATTCGAAGACAGCTATCTAGGACCACTGCATGTATAAGTATTTATCCGTGGGTGTACTATATTGCTTATAAGTTATAACATCGTGATTGAAAATATTATGTTGGTGTGCGTGTACCTTTATGCATTATGCTATTAATATAAAATATAATGTTTTAAAATGTCTAAATTGCATGTTAATTATTAGAGATTTTTAAAGATGAGTATATAATAGTATATATTTTACATTGTAGGTAATTGAAACTTAATAATATAATATTTTAAGCATGACTTAAAAAATACAACCTATTATTACGCGGCTTATTTGCCCATTCCGCTTTCAAATAAATCATTTGTTGTTCGGGAAAAATTATTAAAATTGTATTCCTCGGGTTATATTATTCAAAATTCAAAAATACCTTATCGGGAACGTATTTTCTTTTAATTATTATTTGGTTATGATAATCCCGCATATGACTTGCATGCATGACCCACTTAACCGGTTTGTATATTTTCGACGAATGAGGTAAAACAAAAGTTTTACCTTTCGATTTCCTGTTGATTGATGCCAAAATCGTCATGATCGTAAATGAATTTCGTGTTTCGAAAGTAAAATCTACTATGTACGTTTACAGGCATACAGGGATCACAGGCCACAGCCAGCTAACATTTTCAATTTCTTTTGCAAGCTATTTTTGATCAATGTTCTTATATTGAATTTTATATTAGTTTATAGATTAAACAAAATATCCATAGAAATAATTGAAGGTATTTTTATATATTTTAGTTTTGTATAAAAATAGGTCAAGTATAGTAATTTTTCATGGCTAAAAAGACTTAAAGTAATTCAACTTTATTTGTACAATACCTAATAATACAATTCATCAAGACCAAAGGTTTTTCTTTTTAATAAAAAATATGTGTTTGTAAAACAAAATATTACGCCGTACATTGTTGATATAATATTTAACATTATATAGTATTACAATTTTTATGACGCCTATCATTATAACGAAATTTCATAAAACTAAACAATATTTTTTCAATTTACATTATTACAGTTTTAATAAAACATAATATCATATATAAATATTTTGCACATAACTATAGCCTATATTTATTATAGTGTTGCTTCACGATATTGAACAATGGACGTGTTATATCGTACAAATTTGTCTGTAAATTATAATGTCATATAAAAATTAACACATTCATGTATTTACACATGTAAAATAGTATCACATTATTAAATTGATTCTTCGATTAATAACAAAATGTTTCTTGTGACGTTTGTTCTTCCCACTTTAACGTAATGTACTTATTTTTCGTATTCAAATGTAAAAACATTAAACCTTTTTTTAGATACTTTAGGTAGCTACTATGTATTTATATTTATATTTATGTGATACCACAGAAGTGTGGGCTTATAAAATAACTATAATTATAATAGAAATATATTACTAAGACTTAAAATGCATTAAAAAAAATCGGGCGATTTATGTTTCATTATTTTATTTGCTAGGTTTTCTATTTTTTCTTTATGTGGTCACTTAACAGTCATAGTGAGAGTTATATTTTAAATTTGTATTGTTCTTTTAATTTTAATAGACCTTGAAATGTATTATTACTATTAATGCGTTTTAATTCAATGGCTTCGAAAACGCTTTATTATGATTTTTTGTAAATAATAATTATTTATTATTATTGTTATTACCTATGACTATTGGGTACATTTTATTATTTTTAATAAGTCTAAATTTACAATCATCATAATAGTGGGTTTGGCATTTATTTTAAATACACAATTATTTCCTCGTTAATACCTAAAATACTTTGTTCAAGTGTCAATTACAAATATTTATTTTAAACGCTAAAACTAAAAAATAATGTTTTAATGTTATAATTTTGTGTTATTATACTGAGTCGACAATTGATTTTAACCAACATTCCTCCCAGAAATGTTTCTTTGTAGACGCTTATACAAACTCGTATTTTGCGTTTGATCGATAAAGGAACACGACATGGGTGTATATCATTATTCATTTTAGTGCGTTTTTAAATTTTTAATGAAATACATTTTTAATTAGGTTTTAATCATAGTAAAAAGTTTATGTGCAGATACGTTACACGATTCGTCTATAATTCTATATATGGGTCGCATGTATATGATGTTCACGGTTTTAATCCCACCAATTGAATAAATAAAACCTATACGTTTGATGTGTTTTGGAATGGAAGTACGTTTCGTTTTATTATTAAACTAAATATGAATGAATAAAATAATGAATAATTACTATTTTCGCCCGAATCTCAAGACCAACTATGGTTTCGTTTAGGAAGGCATTGCAATAACGATCCGCCTCGTTTGACGTTCGCACATAATAATGTAATAAATATATATATATATATATATATAATAAAAAATGTAGAACGCATATTATAATAATATAATTTGAACTGCGATTTGTTGAAAAACGTAAAAATTTTACTCTCAGAATACTACTATAATAATAAATACCACAGGTACAATATTATACCGTAAATATGTTTTAATTAGCCTTCAACACGTTTCAGCGCAGTATTTATCATGCGGCTATATAATAATAAGTCTGTTCTCGCAGCCTCCGGACCCCGTCTAAATATAATATTTACCTACTTATCAACTGACGCACTGAACGTATAACAATTGCAATGTTTCAGGAATTACAGAATGAGGTCGGCGCGCTGTTGGAGTTTAGGGACATGGTCATGGATACGTTCCCGCACCTGCGTCACAAGCAGGCGTCCAGCCCGGAGCCGAGCTCGGGATCGCAGGGCGTCGGTTCCGGGGAGAGCCGCTGGGAGCCCGGGGTGCGGGTCCGCCGGAAGTTGCAGGGCTCGTCGTCGGGATGGATCGCCGGCGGGGGTGGTGGCGGCGGAGGAGGCGGCGGCGGTGTCGGACTGGTGGCCGCGGCCGGGACGGCGCCCCGAAGCCGGAGCAACAGCCACGGGAAGGGCCCCAAGAGCGGCGAACCGGCGGCCGCTTCGTCGGTGGGCACCGTGCAGGACAGCGGCTTCTGCACGGAGAGCAAGGACAGCAGCTCGACCAGCTCTCGGACGACGATGACCACCAAGAACTGCGGCAAGGACGACGACGAGGACGAGCTGTGGAGCCTGCTGGAGATGATCCAGGACAAAGGCACCAAGCTCAAACTCGAGGTGGAGTCATTGCAGAACCGGTTGCTGGTAGACGACGAGCGGCTGCGGAGACGCCGGCGCCGACTACGGTTGCGGCCGTGTCGGAGCGTGGACGATCTGCTGCGGCCGGGACCGTGCGACGGTGACGACCTACGCACCTATTGCAGTGGCGCTACCACCGATTACGACGTGTTCCGGGCGCACGTGGCGAACGTGAAACGCGAACGGGACGCGCTGCTCGATCGGGTCACCGAAATGGAAGCGGAGAGCCTGTCGAACGCGGCACAGATCCACCGGCTGCTCGCCGAACTCAAGACTGTCGTGTGCGAGAACAGAGAACTCGAAGAACGGCTGTGCGGCGGCAAGTCGCCATCGGCCGCCGCCGCCATAGCAGCCGCGACCATCGCGGCGAGGAAATCGTCATCTAGTCATAACGGCGGCTTCGCTCCGGTTCAGCCCGAATCGTCGACGGGGCCCAGCTCGTCATCGGCCGGCCGCGACGCATTCTACACCCCTAGCCAACATTCTGCCTGCAACCTATCGTCCATCGAACTGCAGTGTGGCAAACTGTTGCACGACGGTTCGTCTTCCGCGTCCTGTGCGTCGCTGTCTTCGTCATCCGCCATCATGGACGACGACGGTGATGACCGGGATCGTGCCCGCCACCGGTCCAGGAGGGTCCTGCTGGTCCGGCCTTCTGACCCGATCTCTCGGAACCTGGAGGGCCGCGCGTCATCGCCGCCGTTGGACATCGGGTCGCCGACGTTCGCCAAGCGGCTGGGCGCCCTGGACGGCGTGGTCAGCAGTCCCGGCGACCGGATCGGCAAACCCTACTCACCCGGTTTTAGCACCCCGTTGCCCAAAAAAACCCTGGCGGCCATACTGAAAACGTTCAATCCCATCGAACTCCAGCGTCACCTCATCACCGTATCCTACGAGAACAAGGTGAGCTATGTTTGGACAAGTATAGTCTGCTGTTGGTCGCATTAAAATGATTGATAAAAAAAAATTATTTTGATCAAACATAAAATTATAATATAGTCGAGTACTTGCAGTTAGTACTTTGAGTGTTTCGCATTCTGTGCTGCTACGAACAACTACTCCTATAATATTATAATCATAATTTAATATTTGTGTTACATTTTACATGAAATTAATACGAACGTAACGAATAATAACGCGATCGTAATAATGGAAGAACTACAAATATTTTTAATTTTGGTATTTCTTGGAAAGTGGTTGGTAGTTAAGTCTATTTCAACTAAACCATTTTAATTCGCGCATTACTTTTGTGGTTAACATTTTTTTGTGTGTTTTTCTTTTGATATAATATCATTCACCTGTAATTTTGAAATTATTTATGATGAGTCATCATCTTAGTTTTTTTTACTTTCGCGCCTTCTCGTGCGCCCAGAATGTCTACGACTTGTAAATCTGTTTTTTCCTCTTCAATTTGATACAGCTGAAAGAAAACAATACATATGTATATATTTATATATATGTATATTATAATATTAATGAACGTTTCAAATGGTTCCAGTTGACAAACTTTTAAGTACGCGCTCGTTCTTATTATGAATAATGTATAATATAGTATATATATATATATATATATATCATCTCTAATACGATTTTCCTCGTGTAGTAATAAACATATACGCTTTCAATTTGGAACAATTATTTGTTTAGATACTTTCTTTGCGGTTAAAAGCGTGCTAAAAGTTTTCTATTTGCAAACACGCGGTTCGATTCATAACCACGCGTAATCCGCAGATTAGATAGAGAAATTGAGAATGAGATCAAAATGCAATTTACGTGAGCGAATGTTACGAGGGTTATGTGTGCAGAAAACCTACCTGAAATTATGTTTACATTTAAATCACGTATATTTTGCTCTGACCATAATATAACTCAAATATATTCTGACACGTCCGCCCTCAATGAGTGGATACAATTTTCTTTATAGGATGTTGGTGCGTGATACATGAAATATCATTGTAGGATTTTGCGGTCAAAAATAAATGTCGAATTTTTTCTTGCATCCTACCGTACGTCGTCTTATATTTTATTCCAATAACAATTCGTATGCATAAAATATATTATATTTCCTCGCTTTTATTAGCATATCTATCAGTTGGTTTCAATAAAGAACATCATATTTTATTAAACAGTCAGTCACAGATGATCATGATTATTCGTTTTAATTGCTGTAGACTTTTTCTGGACACGCTCCCAAACCCGCATTAAATACATTCGATGAATACGTGTTGAACGTCGTTATAGAGTATAATGACTGCCGTGCAATTAAGAGCTATATAGAAGATAAATAATTAAATGATTGTAGCGATGCGACGACGTCTATAAACACAATATAATAGAATTGCTAGTGATGGTGAAAGACTCATGGGGGTATCTGGTTAAAAAAAATGTAAAAACGACGTTCAAAATTAGAAAGACTGTTCGGTATTATTAATCGACCGCCCACCGGTTTGAAGAACCCCTTTTGTCGTGCAGCGGACGTTTGTATTATTGTCGTTATTATTAATATTATTATGTACTATATGAATTTTTGTTTTTGAACCCACATTGACATATATTTACATTGAAGTTTCAAGTTCGTCACAAGTTGACCATATACGTGCACTGCGAGTGGTGCGCAAACCCACGCGATTCCAATTTATTACACCAAACCTATTATTGTTGTGTGTATAGTAAAGGTCTTCATTGTTTCGACTTTTAATTTTTTTTCGGTAGGCGGACCGTATTGCTGTTTTAATATTTCATCTCTAAACACGCATACGATTATGATTATGCACTTTTCAAGGATGTATGGCGTTTATTTATCTCTACAACGCATGATTTATGTGTATATACTATAATATTCTCTGTCATCGAAATGCAATAGTAATAAATCGCTGCGTAGAGCCGATAATAATTAATTATCCCGTGGCGGTGACGACGACAATATTATTATTATTTCTGTATAATAAAATATTATTGTAATGAATTCGTACACCAGCCGTTGTTGTTTTTAATGCCGTCTGACGCGTACAACGATTACAGAGGAGTTGTGAATTCGAATGCATTTTTGTTCGAGAAACAATGATGGTAGGTCCCGCAGGTAAGGTAGGCATACAGTTGGTATATACAGGGTTATGTAACCGTGATTCCTGAACGCAGAACGAAAATCCTAACCGTAAAATATAGTATAGAGCTGTTTACCTGGCTACCTATAGCATTAAAAATATTATATATAATAATATTACATTATATATTATTGTACTGGGTATTCGGAAACCAAGCCAATTAGAAACACAGTCCTGGTCATCTGGGACACCCAGGTTGTGGTGATGCAGTACTATACTATACCAATGGTATCGAGTATTCGTAGAGTCGCTGGCCCGGTGATAATTAACTGACCTTAGCTCGTACTCGTGTGTGTGTGTGTGTGTGTGTGCGTGTGTGCGATATCCACTTTCGCAATATCGACGAATTAACGTTCCCTATAATAAAATATAAATACCTGTGTATCTATATATAGTACGGAGAACGAAAACGGGCCAACGCCCTTCGACGAGATTATAAAGCGGGCTCGCGACGTTTGACGCAAATGAATGAGAGGAAAAAAAACACAATAATATTATATACTTATACGTAATCCAGTTCGGGTTTTATGATGTGAGTATTGTCGTATATGTTCGATCGACACGTATTAGATTTATGGGGTTTCGATGACATTGGCCATGATGGGTTTCGCCGTGCGCTTCTATATACGCATTTTAGAATTATATGTATATAAAAATAAATAGGTACGAATACAGCATACAATTACGCTTTTGTCTGTCGCGCGCGTGGGCTAATTACACAAATGGATTGGAAGTCCCAAAAAACGCATATAACAATAGAATTACGAACAAATTGATGGTTATCCCTAATAACTTATTAATATTGTTAAATATTACACTATAATGTTACTTGATTTAAAATCTACAAAATTATATTTCTTTTAGTACCTTATACCTATAGTTTCACTATAGTCTGCAGTTTTTTAATAATTCGATAATATTCACATATTGCACCATATTTTTGTTCTATACTTTGTCTAAGCAATGTTGGAAACTAGGAATTATTGCTGCGCAATTGTGCTATAAGCTGCATCATTGTTGTACATATTCTCAAAATGTCCTAAACCATTATTATTATATTGAATTTTGTTAACTCGTTTCAATTTTCAGAATCTTGTTCGTCAGATGGAGATGTTGAACATTTCCAAGAGCGATGTTTCCAACGAGCTGAACAAGAGCAAAGAGGATAACGAAGAACTGAAATTCCAAGTGAGTGCCGTGCCGCGGCGACGATAGTGGCGTGTCGATGGAGGGTTGGACTTCATCACATGCTTGTTTGTTTTAGCTGGAGGAGAAGCGTATCGAGCTGGAAGGGACCATGGCCCGGGTGAGGTTGTTGCAGTTGCACCAGGAGCAGCAGCAACACGGTCCCGTCACCGCGGGATCGCAATCTGCCGGCACTGCAGCCGCGGCCACCAACCAGTGGCTAGACCTGGTGCCATCGAACCCGATCCTACCTCAGATCGCGCTGCCTGGAACGCCGTCAGCGGCGATGTCCACACCGCACACGAGCAACAACCACCTGCACCACCACCTCAACCACAGCCAGGACGAGAACGGTGGCAGCAGCAGCACCGAGTCGGCGCATCAGACCCGCGGCGGCAGGCACAGCGTGCAACATCAGCCCAGCAAGATACCGGTGGTCAAGCCGACGTCGTGCCCGGTGCAGCCCAGGCCGACATCGTCGTACCGCGGAAGCGACGTGCAGCAATACCAGTCGTGGACCAAATGCAAGTCGGACCAGTCGTTGCCCCGCAACTGGGAGTCCATCAACAACAACAACAACAACAACAACAGTCACAACAAGAGCAACGGCGGGTCGTCCATCGGCAGTGGCGTCGGTAGCGTCAAACAGCGTGGCAACAAACTCGACTCGTCGCAGAATCACCTTCACCAACACAGGTCCCGAAGGGATTCGGGCGGCGGCGGCGGCGGCGGAGCGTCCCTGACGCGAGCTCGGTCGCAAAACAATCACGCTCACCGGGGCGGCGCCGCTTCGTCGCCGTCGACGGCGGGTGGCGCGGCCAAAGACTTCAACAGGACCGCGTCGTCGGTGGCCGCGGGTCATCAGCTGCATCTGCTGCAACAACAGTCGGCGGCCGACGATACCAACAAGGTACGGCCGACCAAGAGATTCACCAACATGCTTAACAGTTGGATGCGGAAATCCTAACGGAAGGCTTTTAAACACACACACTCGGCCGTATATATTATATATTATTATAAGATGGTGTCATCATATTATCGTCCGATGGTCTACAACGTGTGCGCATGCGCACGTTTTCAGACACACATACACAAACTCATACACACACACACACACACATATATATATATATAAATATATATGTATCGTATACTTTGGCGCGCACACACACACTCACACGCACGCCGACTCAAGTCGATAGTGTATATGTATATATAATATATGTTGTGTGTGCGCGTACGTGTGTGCGTGCTGTACTTTATATATATATATATAATATAATAAGTATATATATATATATATATATATTATCGCACCATGCTGTTGTTTCCGATCACACCGCAGTCACCAAAAAAAAAAAAAAAATATACCAAAAAATCTGTTATATAATACTATATATGATGCGAAAAAGGATTAGCTTTTCGACGTGTGCTTGTTATTGCTTCTTTGGACATTACGCAGTAAAACAAATATATACATAATATAGTACATACGTGCATTTACGCATGCATATCGTGTCCCCGCGATTACCATCACACACCGTTCACACGCGACGACTCAAGTCGGCCGAAACCCGTAAGTCTGATAATTTTTTTTTCTGTCTTTTTTTTTTGTTTTTTTTACTAAGTTTCAAATTTTACATAACCGTCTTCTTGCCCTTTTTTTTTATATGTATTATTTTGTAGAGTTGTGGCTTATTGCATGATGTATAGGTCACGCATCTCCCTCCGCGTGTAACAAGCATTATTATTTTTTAGACTTTCCTCGCCTTCACTCGTGTTATAGATAGGCAATGTTTAGGAATTTTATTATATTTCATCGATTGTCATAATATTATTTATTGTATTAATCTATGATGTTTACGAGTCATATGTTTGAGCGCGTTAACTCACTTATTAATTACGCGCATGTACAAATAAAATTAATAAACTGATATATATGCGATTCATTATATCACTAATGGTATACACTAAAAAATAGATTATGGCTTACTGATTTTTTGAATTTGATTTTTATGTATTGTAACTATTGCTCATTTTAGGACTGTTAATTTTTCGCTCAATCTATTGTACGCTCGAAAGTCGCCACGTGGCAATCGTTACTATAATGGGAATCCGAATTCGACCACGCCATAAAATATGACCACGATATTATATATGGTCGATCAAGGAGGTATATTTTTGAGCAAAAATTCGTCTCGCTCCAGTCCCCTCAGACCGCAGTATAATATACTCAGACGTTTACATCGCGCTGCGCTCGTTCGATCCGCACGATCTAATATAAATTATAGGTGTATACCTATATGGTTGCCTACAAATAACCGATTTTCGATTTGCCTTGGAATCGCGTAAACCCGCAGGAAAACAACGACGGTGGTGGTAGCTGCTGTGCATTCAGGATTATCATCTACCGCGATCGCCGCCCGTGTCCGTCCGTCGTATGATAAATCCGTTGTTCGTCGCGAGGTCGATTTACGCTCTATCCAACGGCGATCGTCACGTATTTTCCGAACTTTTAATGGGATTTTTTTCTGCGTCCCGGTCCGATTATAATAATGAAAACCGCGTTGTATAATATAATATACCTATACGTGTATATGGACAGTAATAATATCAACGATATTTCGACGCGACACGGTCCGTTAATTCTTTTTAGCGTCTGGTTAGCGATATAACTATAATGTATATTATACAAAGGACCTGCAATAGGTATATACCTCGTGTGTATGTATATAGCATACGTGCGCATGCGTGTAGTGTATAAATACGGACACAAGAGAGAGAGAGAGAGAGAGAGAGAGAGAGAGAGATAGAGCAGAAATCGAGAGATTCAAGGCCCATAGTCGCCGCCGTCTCATCTCCCCGCTCGCTGCAGCCGTATAATTATTATTACAATAATTTGTTTGTTCTTTTTTTTCCATTCGGCGGTTCTTTATTATTTTTTTTTCTCAACTCGAAATCAAGGACAAAAACGGTATCCACTGCAGCAGTTTATACACCTATATGTAATGCTCGTATACCAATGGGCAATGTGTATATATATACAGTCTCTGCGTCCACGCGTGCCCAACGCTTATAACGATTTTCCGTCGTACTTATGTTATATATAGGCACAAACCACAACGTCTGCTGCAGCATAAGTTTTTAATTTAAATCGTTTCACACAAAACGATTCGTCGCCCCTTCCCTCTTTGCTCCTCGTCACCTCCTACGTGACGACGACGACAATAACATAATAATATTATTATACTGTCGTCGCTCGTCACCCTGTTCGACTCAAACACGAGCGACCGCGCCGAAGCCGAGTGAAAATGTTATTAATATTATATTTATATTACAATATAGTGTACAAACGACTCCACTGCCGCTTTTTTACAACGCGTTGTATATATACGTCCCGAAATTGATTTAGCAATTATTAGAAAAACGAAAAACAATTCGATAGAAAATCGGCCGTCGAGTTTAAATTGCGGCCCGTCATCGTTGTACAATAATAATAGTACTCAGCGTCGTTTTTCGACTCTGTCCGTCCGTCCGCTCAATTTATTGTTGTCCGGTGTTTAGTACCTATGTGTAGGTATGTATAATATAATAGCTCCGTACTTTCTACTTCCGTTCGATTTCCGGCTGAGCGCTGACCTTTATAGTCGAAAATCCCAACGCAACAATATGTGGACTGCAGCACGTAGCATCGTGTATACGGATAGTAATCCGTTTGGAGTAGTGCACTCATTTTCTGTCATTTAATTGAGATAACAAATGTTTTCCGTCTTCCGAGTACTTTTAACTATAAATGTTACAACTTTTTACTAATTTGTTATCATCACAGAAATGTTTTTGGAGTTTTTACTTTTCTCAAATCTAACACTTCAATATTCCAAATTAAGTTTAGAGATCTTCGAAGTAGTCCACCGCAAACTTGTGGGAAGTGTAAGAATTCCCTCATCACTACTATATACTCCTCCTGGCTTAAAAGTAAATACTTCTTAAAAATAAAACATCAAGAAATTTGATTTAATTTGTAATAGATTTTTGCAAAAATAGAGTGGGTAGGTATACTATTCAAACCGTAGAAAAACATTTTCACTTTTCTTTTCGAATTCATATAATGACTGATCGAATAATTAGTGTGGCCGGTTAAACCGTACACCGGTACACCCTGTACATAATATATGATCACACACTGTACCTATAGTAGTAACGATTGTAATCAACAAATAGGCACGTGCGCCAGAAGATATAGATATATTATATTATATGGTTCGAGAGAAAATACGTTTTCGCGTCGATTGTTGTAGGTGCATTATATATTATTATACACAGATATCGTCATTTGCTAGTAATTACATATATATATATACAGAAATAGTTATTAACGACGAAAATAAAAAATGTTGCTCATTCGGTGTGGACCAGATTTCTTATTTTAATCGTATACTGCAGCTTCTTGGGCACATGATAACAACAATATAACACAATTTCTTTGCGAAATCGTTTCGGAAATAATAGTGATACTTGTTACGTATTTTTGTGACTCGTCGCCGGTACATTATATTATTTATATACCTAGGTACCATTAATACCTAGGTACCCTTAATACCAGTAAATTTTCGTCCGGACGGACGAACCTCAGTGTCTGTGCGGAGAGAATTGAAATCGTTGCTAATTGCGTTGCGTCGTTGTCCGAAAACCGGCGGGTCATCGATAATATTATTCGCGTTTCGGTTCCTCTCGGTTGTTTTTACCTAAATATATATTATAATTTATAACTTAGGAATAGAGTAGCCGCCCGTGTACGACCGGAAATTGTCACTTCCTGATTGCTATGCACATTACAATAGCGCACGTACCGCGCGTCCATCGGCCCGCATCGCGCGTCGTGAATTTTTTTTTTATATTAATGTATTAACAGATTATCCGTTCATCTGCGTTATATACGATGTACCTACCGTATACCACGACGATGTATTATTATAACGCAGTAATCGCTGCGCCTAAATCGTATATTATTTGTATTATAATATTATAAACTCTCGCTCGTTTACACTCAGTTATCGCATTCGTTTTTCGTTTTTTTTTTTTTTTAATTCATCGGTACCATTATGATATACGAAAACGAAAGTCAAAACGTTGGATCCGTTAATTTTGGCTACAGATTAATATATAATATTTATATATTTATATATAATTTGTGTATGTGTGTATGTGTGTGTGTGTTTTCTTGATAAAATTGCAATCCACCGGTGTCTGGTATTGTTTGTATATCTGTACATATTATATTCTGATATTTTTTTAATTCGCATAGAAAGTCACGGCTGTCCGTGTACATAATTTTTAAGCCACAAACAATTACTCGAATAAGCGGTAATGGCTAGTAGGTACCTATATATACATAGGAATTTTCTATTTCGACTAGATTAATGAAATTTTCCTGCATTCGGGACTTCTAATGTCATTTATAGTAGTTAATCATATGCCCATCAACATATTATTGTGTTGTACCTAGTAAAGGTGTGTACAATATATGTGTAGAGAAAAAAATCGTTACAAGTTTAATTTCTTTTTTATCATGATCATAAAAACTTCTTTTTTTACATTATATACTTTATATATATAATATGCCTAGTCAATATTAAAATTTTCGAGCCAATCACAACAGGCGTTCCAAATGATTTTCTTCATTTAGTATATTTTATCTACGAAAAAAATGAAATCATTTATCGTGGTATATTTTACATTATTTATTATAAAATTCTATACAATAACGTATGTATTAATATAATTTTCTTAAATCATATGACATAATATTCTATCTATAAGTACTTATATCATTTTTTTTTCAAATTGCAATTTATACTACGTAGGTATATTACCTGTAGTTATCGCGGCATAATATATAATATGGGCATG